TTTAGTTCAAGAGCTATTAATTTTCAGATTCTTTTTCAAAATAAAAAGCAGATAAATTTTAGAACAAAGTTTAGTAACAAAGATGGTATAGCATGAACATTTACAAATGAAAGTAAATGTGAATCTATATTTTATATACAAATATATATATATATGTACATTGTTCAATATATGTTCAATGACACACTGTGTGTTAAAATAACATTCTTGGCCCTTTGTTGCTGCTATTTGTTTGCAAAATATTAGAATACCAATATGTCTTGGCAAAGCTAATCTATACAGCATAATTTAAATACATAGAACAGATACACGTAAGAAGAAAAGAGTACAAAATGTACCACTATCAAAATTAAATAGATATTCTTATGTTCCTCTTAAATTATGCAATAGCTAAATTTTACTTATGCAGTGGCTGTAGTTAAAATCCTTGTAATTTTACTTTTAGCCAAATTAATGTTCCCATGTGTTCTGTAGTATGAGAAAATACCACCAAAAGTCTGTGCTTAGTGTAGGAAATATTGCAAAAACATACTTACGTGCAAAGGCTGGGTCTATAGATTCAAATTGTGACAAAATTTTGTTCTAAATAATACAGAGCGAGGATACGTGATAGATATTCTATCAACTGGCATTTTTAACAACATTTTTACGTAGAAAAATCAGTCTTCCACCAAATAGAATTACAACTCTTACGTGAGTTTAAAAAAATACCGTATGAACATTTTATATCCGATAAGTCTTGTGAATATGTTGCCTGCTTCTCTATCACAAACGAGATTAATCACTGGCTACAGAACTCTGACCTAATATGAGTTGATGTAACTGTGCTGAAGTCAGTGGAACTCCATGCATTTACACCAGCTAAGGGTTTGGATTTTAAGACACTTATACGATTTGCTGCAGTAGCTAGAATTCACGTGGGCTGAGTTTCCATATTACCAAACAGTAAAGTCGGATCTCACATCCTTGAATTCATTGACAGTAAAAGACCGCGATCGTCTCCTAAGAGCAGGACGACAGGGGTTTCTCCCCTTAACTAAATTTAAATAAGGATCAGATCTTAGGAAGCGTGGGTAACTGTCTTGCTCCATTAGCTTGTAGACTGTGCTTTGTGCTGCATCAAAGGTGGTGATGATGGGTTGTTCAATATTCTGACTTGTGACTTCTTTGGTATGAAAGTCCAGATTCACCTGGAGAATAGCAAAAAGTGTATTTCGTTAATGAACATCAACACATTTCCTATGTTGTTATGCATAGATTCAGAGATGTGAATGTTAAAAATAATCTGTGGGAATTATGGGCTGAAACTGTACTATTTTTGCAAAAGATTTATACCTTTTTCACCCTTTTACAGGGAAGCAGCTGTTAATATTTAGCAGTTGCTATTCTGAAAATAAAAGAACACAGGGAAAAAAGGAGCATGGGCAAGTGATGTACCTGATCTGCTCAGAACTGATAGAATTATATGAAATTATAGGTCCAAAGGACTTACTGAAGAACCTGAGCTTGATTTCAGTGAGAATTCATCATCTCCCAGTCTGTTCATCTCCTTCCAAGAGCAGGCAAAAAAATGTTCCTTTTTCTCATTTATACTATGATTCCTTTACAATACACTTAAGTAGTGTGAAGAAACTGTAAATATAAAGCCTTCTTGCACTACTTCTTGCTCTTTATTTACCCTTAATAATACAGAGGGAGTATTGAAAGGAGTCTGAAGGAAAGTGAGAATGTCTATGCAGTGATTTCCAGACTTCCTTCTGAAGCTTTGATGTCTGAGATACAGCCTTCTTATGTCATTGGCAACATGATTAACTGTTGCCACTGCTTCTGGGCCTGCACCTCTTAAAAGCAGATTCCGTTAGATGCAGTAGTGTCAAACAATGTGAACCTTGAAAAATGTTTTTACTGTACCTCTTTTGGTGCATCTTTCTGTATGAATGTTTCATAAATGGTCTTAGCTTTTGGAAGAAGTTCATGTGCAGTTTTGCTTTTCTTGTAATCCTCACAAGCTATCCAGAACTCAATGTTCTCCTCACTGAACTCAGTTTTCAGAAACTTCGTAAAGGCATCCAATCCAGCTACAGAAGGGAATATTGGATTGCATTAAAAAAAAAAATCCTTATCAGGCAGTTACTCTTTTTATACAGTCTGTGCAAGGTAACAACATAGGTTGTGCTCCCTTTCAAATACATCACATTATAGATAACTACCTATAAAAGAAGTGCATTTTTTCATAAGGATCCTGCATACTGCAGCTCCCATGAAAGTTTGTGGAAGCAGAATTCTCAGTCTCTGTTAAAAACCCACTACCAAAAGCTTGTGAGGAGGCTACTTAGAAACGGAGGCAATCAGAACATGTGATGTTTCTGAAAGGGATGGACTTTGTTCAAACTGAATATCAGATTTAGGTTGCTCCAAACAGTATTTGAATCTTTGTTCATATGTAGACTCTTCTCCAGTAATAATCTAAAATGAAGGGCTTTTAGCATCTTTACAATTTTTTTACCCTACTATTGTCATTATGTTGCAGATATTTTCTTTCCCAACTATTGAGAAGTAACACAACTGAGTTATTGTCTGCAGTCTGAGGAATGGATTTGAAAAGCATGTGGTGTCCAGCACTGTGCCAGAATACTCATTTCTGCTGAATCAAGCATGTGTCCCTCCAAATTGGAAACCAAGCGGCCTATGAATATTCAGGATCTTGCTTTATGTGCATTTGATAATTATGTAATATATATGGACTCTTCCAAATAATGGCCAATTTTGTTCCTATTGCTGTTTTAGAAACAAACTGTATCAAAAGCGGCAGCTTTTTTTCCTAGCAACACAGAAAATGTTTTCATTTGTAAGGGGTCTTGCACTTCCATTGTCTTGCACTTAGCAATATTTGAACAATATTGAAAACAAAGGGATGAAAGATAGGAAATCTTTATTGCAAACATCATGAGTAATCTGTTCTCTGGCCAAATATTGCTGTATCTTATAGCTCTGTTATATCTAAGAAAATGGCTTCTGCCTTAGAAAATTTTAAACTTCTGCAAATATAAGGCTAGATACTCTTAGCACAGAGTTTCTGCCTTTGATCACTGTCTCTCATTAGCTTAAAACTACTGAGACTGTGGTGCTGGAAGGATCTACCTGAGAGGAGGTACTGATGATGCGCACCAGAAATGATGGTCCTAAATCAATGGCCTGACGTTTCCAGACTTTACTGATCTTCTGAAGTCTGCTTAATTTCTCTTATTTTCCCAACAACAGCACAGTAAAGTAGTCTAGCTCCAGTGTAACAATGAGAAATGGACTTTTGCTAGAAGCAATGGCTTCTATTTTTCTGCTGTTTGTGTAAGAATTGATACTGTCCTCTAAGAAAATCTTTTCCTTAACAATCATTTCACTTAGTTCTAGTCTTTAGACAAAATCCCAATGAATACCAATGAGCTGTCTGACTAAGCTCATGAATGAACTTACTAAGCTGCTGAATGAAACTTACAGATCTCCTGCAAAGACGTGGTATTTATCTCCATGCAAATTCATATTCTTTTGCTTGTTCTTGGATTTCTCCTGTTAAAAACTTAAAAGCATTTTCTACAGCAAGTCCTCTTTTACCATAAGCTCATTTTAACAGTCCCTATATGCCACACATGGCTAGTTATCCCCAAGATAGAACTAATTATCATGAACTATTGTAGAACAAAAAGCCTAAAATTTCATGTAATATAAAGAAAAGATTTTGCAGGCTTCATTGAATAACACTTGCAATAGGATGGGAGAGGTACAACTCAGTGGGATGTTGAAAAGAGGTAAAATGATGGATGAGAGAGTAGCCAGCAGATTTCCAACCATTTTAAACAGCTGTCATTCAGGATTTATGCTAATATAGCAGTTAGCTCTCCAGAACATACCGAAAACCCTGCTTGAGCAGGGGGGTTGGACTAGATGATCTCCAGAGGTCCTTTCCAACCTCGACCATGCTGTGATTCTGTGAAATCATTACAGAACAACATTTAACTACCTGTGGTCTTCTCTTACCGTTTATTGAGGGAATTCTTCAGTGTCTGTTACATTACTTCATTCAACAAAGCATCAGACTTAACGATTATAAATCGATTATTTATTTTCTATATTTGGCAGCATGCTATAGCCTAAGCATACAAGTAGAGCAGAAACTCTTACTAATGTAAATGACGTATCAAATTAATTTAGGTAACTGACAGGTCTATTTAATTGAACTACTACATTTTGCAATTTTCTATCAAGCAATGATACTTTTCACGGAGAGGAAAACACTACTAACCTTTCTGGGAAAGCAGTTTGTCAAAAGATTCACCCCATTTAACTGCTTCTTCAGGAGACGCACTGTTTATGAAACAAAAAGTGTTTTTGATGAAGTATGTGTATTTATGAAGTTATTGTAGCACGTTAATCTGTTACCGTTATTGCTTTGCGCTATTTCACCAAGTGTTCGATTAGATTACGTTACCAAATAAGCTTGTTCTATTAGAGACTACAGAAACATTTGGTTTAATTTTTTCTGACTTTTTTCCTGCAGAATTATACTTTTTTTGCCTTTTTAAAAAAAAGATTAAAGCAGAGGTTTGTCTCTTCAGTGTTTGTGTTGCACTGCTATTCTTTAAGGAAATTGAGATCATGCAGTGTGGTAAAACTCATACAGGAACCACCTATGTAAAGTTAAGAGTCCACCACCTAGTTAAACTTAAAAAGAAGGCTTTTGTTGTTAAAACTGACGTATTCTTGCAGACATGTGGTTTTGAATGCGCTCAGTGTGAGACTGTGTTACCACAATCTATTTTTAATGAAATACAGAAATGCTATAGCGTGAAGATAAAGCTGTAGCAATATGGTTTAGGTGATGGTCTCACAGGGTAGTAGCACACATATCCCAGTTTGTTTACCATAAACATTTTTTAAATGTCATGTTATATCGGGACACTGCACTTTATTTACCCCCTATTTTTGTGAACTAGAATTGAATTAGGCTTGGAGATGAATTGTATCGTGCTAGGATTATGACTTAGTTCTAAACCTGAATGAAAGGCCAATTTATTAGGTGCCATACAAATAATAATTTTTAAAACCATTTTCATCAGAGGCCTGCACAATTAAAGTATCAAAGTCCTCACATAGGCAACTTGTCATGGGTCAGTAGGTTGGTGGTGGAGCTGAGAACCAGATCAACTTCTTTTGGACTGAATGCTTTCTGAAAATGGTTCCTCCTTCCTTGCTGAAGCTTGAAGTTCTTTGGTTGCCTGGTTTATATAGTCTGGTTTCCACTGACAAAATCTATAGGCACATGAAGTTTAGATGATGTGAAATTCCAGTCACTTTGGGAGGGAATTTAAGCAATAAGGATCTTGTTTTTGTACGAAACTGAAAGGAGGATTTGTTATAGGTGTCGTTTCTCTTCTAGCTAAGTCATTGCTTATACAAATGAAACTTTTAGCTAGGGAGAGAACAGTTCTCAAGTGGTACAAATATGGAGAACTGAAGGTTAAGAAATAAACATAAGCCAATGAAGTGAGGGAATTCTATAGCTGGGGAAAATGATCTCTCACTCCTTTAGGGAACTGTGCGGATTTGCATGTTTGGGAACAATGGGTTCCTATAGCTACAAAAATGAATCTGGTAATAGTGAAAAATAAACCTGGCTCCTTGAGGCCACATATGCAGTCTAAACAGCACAGAATGCTGAAGAACTTCTTTACTATTTTTGGAAACTTCTGGGGTGAATTTTTGATTTTCTCTCAGAAACTGCATCAACCTAGTAGCCTCACAGATCCCAAGGACCTGGGAGTAGCAATGAGTGCTGTAGTCGCAAATAGAAACCAAGATCTATTCCACTTCGCCACTTTTACAAGATGAGAAGAAACTTAATGAGTTTATAGGTTGTAAGAATTTCCACTATCACCGCACTGTCCCTCTGCAGAGCTTCATAAAATTTTGTTTTCTACTTATGCTGTTTAATATCTCCGTGTAAATAATAGAAATAATTAAAACCAAGTAAAACACTGGGCATCCAAAACTGTTATCTGGCTTTGCTACTTGAAAAAGCGTATATCTTCTTCTTCTTTTTTTTTTTTTTCATTTTTTTTCACTGAAAATAATCTAAATCTCTTTCTCCATATAAAGTATATCTATACATAGATCAACAAATAAGTACTAATTTCTCTTCTATACAGTAAGAACAGTACAATCCCTGTTAGTTGAGCACCTGGCCGAGAGTAATGTGGTTAAAAGTAGTTGACTGAGCAAGGAAGTGGTGATGTCTGGTAGAAGAAGGAAATTATTCATTTATTGCTGTTGTATCCACCTCCCTTGAAAGTGCCTTTTTGTAGGTGATTGGAATGTATTGATGACCTTGTACTTTACATGAAATGCCTAAGTTTTATCAGCCAACCAAACAAAAAATCATCGAAAGTAGAACTCATGATTGCAAGGTTGTATATTTGAGTGAACTGTAAAACTTTTGAGTTAGTTAAGCTTTCTGTCAGCAGCAACACAAGAAAGAGGGGGAAAAAAGAAAATAATGAACCTACTCTGCCCCCCAGACTGTGGGGTGGAAAGTGGTCCAGAGCATGAGTGCTTCCTGTCATTTGAATGTGTGGAATATTTGGATGTATGAGCAACAAACATAGTGTAACTATCCAGATACACAGATACAAGTGTTTAGATACCAAATTGTTGGGTTTTTTCATGGGTTCCAAAAAATGGTGTTTAAGCCTTGGTATAATTTTTACTGTATGTCCACAGTTGGTAAGGGTTTGTAGAAATAGTTACTGAAGTCTTCTGGTCAGGGTGCAGGCATCTTGGCCTCAAACACAGTAACTACTGAAACAAGTTTGATAAGTTTAACAAGAAAGCAGACTGAAACTAGAAGCACTGAATTGTTCTGAAGTGATCTGTGAGGAAAAGAAATGAACTGCAAATTTTTTAGACCTTGAAGTTGTAGTACTTTAAGCATTCCTTCTTCTCAGTCAAGCCCTACAATGGCAGCGAAGCAGGTTGGTGAGATCCTGGCTCCCCAGTGAAGTCAGGAACAAAGCTCTTACTGAGTTCAACAAAACCAAGATTTCACATTACATCTTTATAGGAAATAGTATAATGTGGAAAATATTACACAATGTTTAAATGACCTTTTTGGAGGAGGGAGGAGGGGACAAGACAGTGTTCTATCAATTATTGCAGTCACTGAGGAACTATGCATTCAGGTTTTGATGTGCAGCTGGTGTTCGTACATCACAGGATTCTTTGGAAAATTTATTTTCCAAGGAACTGTATAAATTCTTTGTAAGAAGTAATTTGTCAGGCACGTACCCAGGTTAATTCTTGTTCAAATTTGTCAATTAACTAAGAAAAATGCTGTTGGTATGAATGAAGTTTATGTATATGCATGTGTGTGCATATGTACATACTTTTTTTTTATACAGATACAAATGTATTTGAATTCAGGAATATGAAGGAAAAGTCGTGGAAAAATTCTTAACAAGTACATACTTGCCTCCATACTAATTACTATAATCAAAGTAAGTGGTACACAAAGACTATAAGAAAATGAAAATTTGGATTTGAAGTAGCTTAGAAAAATGTGGATTACGCTATCCACATTTTTCTTCCATTTTGTTTCTTCCTTCCCTTCTTTATTTTAAAGAAAAAAATGTTTGCTGGGTCAGATCATACTTCATACCACAGAAAATCTCTCTGAAAACTATATAACGACTTGAGACTCACCTATTCATTGCTATGAATCTGAGTAGCAGTCTACACCTATTAGTGTAAAAAACACGAGTGATGAGTTAACTTGATGTATACTGTTTGTATGCTTGGATTAGGTTGCTAATTTATAAGTGAAATAGATCTTAAAAGCATTATTCTCTGCCAAGCCTGAATGCGCACAGGCAAATGCAGGAAATGTTTCGAGTCACACAACCGCTTCCTGAAAGGAATCTCCAGTCTTGCAGTGTTTATAACGCTCACCTTGCTGCTTTTGTCAAGTGTGTAGGTTTGCCAAGATGATCCTCTTCATGGAATTCAGATTTCTGCAGGAGAAGGCTCAGCCTATTTCTCTTCTGCTTAGCTCTACAACAAAGTTCAGGTAGCTTTTAAAGCAACATGTTGAAAGATGTTGTTCAAACATTTCCTTTGACTAGTATCTCCCTGCCTCTGCATTACAGATCATTACTTTCTACATTCAGCTATAGTAATGTTGATGTTTTTTCGCCTACATATTAATGTTCATGTTAATGCATTTCTTCCTTATACCTTAGCATGAATTTACATATGAAGCACTGGCAAAGGGTAATGGAAATCTTTTCATTTATATTTTGCATTTATTTTCACTTATCTTTTTCATTTGTTTTAAAAATGGAGGTGGGTTAAATTTCATGTTAGTGAATAAGTGCAGTCAACATCTTCTATTTTTATCTTTTTGCAAAGAAAAAGGAAGTATTGCTTCCTGTCATTTCAAAATTTTAAAAAGAAACTTCTCCCGATCTTATTTAGGCTTCAGAAAGGGATTTCTCAGAATTTCCCACTTTCTTGTTAATTATTTGATTTGTTTCGTATTCCTATTCTTAATAAATATTCCCTTGATGAATTAATATTTTATGGATACAATTCCCAGACTTGCAGTTCATGAGTGTTCACATATATCAGTCCAAAATAAAAAGAACTATGCCCTAAATTCATACCCACCAGCTATGTTAGAAGAATCCCCTATGTACACGGACCACTCAAAGTGTAAGTATGACCTTAAAACTTACCCAGGCTTGCTTGCTTTATTCGTCTCTTCTTTATTTGCTGTTTTCGTGACTTTGTAATAGGATTTATCCTTGGAAGCAGAAATGTTTAGTTGGGGAAATAAAAGAAGTGGATTCTCCATCTTCCTCTAGTAAAGCTTCCTAGTTTCAGCAAATGGTTCTTCAGCTTCCTGACAGCAGTTGCATCTAGTGTAATTGGTGCATTCAGGAAGGTTGTCGCATACTGTATCTGGCTTGATTGCTACTCAACCAGTGGTTGAAAAGTTTCCAGAGCAGGTAGTGGAAAGAAGGAGGTTCTCCACCTTCGCTGTCACTACAGCTGCACGTAGGCAGGACTTTAAGTAGAGTTTTGTTTTCACAGTCGTCATTCAGGGAAGTGAGATTACAACTTTGCAAAATGGCCGTTGATCATGCACATAAACATGGCTGTAAGCGGAGAACAGCTCCTGGTTGTGTGTGTGCGGAACTTGATGGTTTGCTAGACTTCGGATGACACTATCATTTTCTCCCAAGCGCTTAGGGGAAGTGAATAGAGTGTCTCTAAAATGAGCTCTAAAAGAGAATCATTTTGTACAAATTAATGTGTAGCGTTGCCTTAAGCTCTTAGAATAACTTTTAATTGACTTTAAACTGCCCTCTGCAGTCTCTGTTGCTAAATGCTGGACATAGAAATCAGTTTTAGCTACAACATGCTAACTTGACACTCAGAGTCTGAGTCTCTCACAAGAGCCGGATGAAGCTGTGTTTGATCAGATATTTTGTAAATAGAGATTTTAATTTTTGCACTGTTTTTCAGAAGTGATGAGTACCTACTTCTGATTTTGAGTTTGTTCACGTATCAAGGAATGGTTTGCAATACTGAACAGTGTATTTATTCACTTTTTGTTCAACCCTAGGGCATTGTTGAGTACTGCAGTTTTGAAAGTGAGTTTCTTCTGTGAGTTCACATCCATCAGGCATTAGATAGGAAAGTCATTGATTGCGTATCAGCACCAAGGTCATTGTTTATTAACCCAGTTTGATTACTTAACAATCTGATCTAGAGCTGAACAAAGATGTTTGAGAATGAAAGGTGGAGAGAAGATATGACCGCAACATCTTACAATGACTTTGACTGGCTCTGCCCACTGGTAAGTTCTGATAAGAGTCCCACCAAGGCCTTTCCTCATGCCTGGGGAGTTGAGGAGAGGAAGTACTAACAGACAGAAGAAAGAAAAAACTCTTCTAGGACTCTGAATTCCTGAAATGGAACAAAGAAAAAACCTTATTTTTTGTTTAAGAACGAGAAAAGAAAGAGAGAGCACTTAGTTACTACATCTGTAACAAATTTCAAAATCAGACTGAATAAGAAATATTCCGTTGCAAAACTGCCTTCTGTAGCCCCAAAATCTCTGAGAGACAGCGTTATACATTTCATTTTCAGTTTCAGAATACGCCTATAGATCATATCCTAGTAATTGTGAACTGGGTTTAACCACAGAGCTGTCTTTAATAATGTGTTCTATCTTTTACCAATAAGTAAACAAAATTAGAAAACATCTTTTTATTTGACTTTTCTGCAAGTCATATGAACTTTTGTTGGCCTATTGATGTGTATATAATACTATCTCTGTGTTGATCTGTCATAATTTTATTATCTGGTGATTTCAGTTCCTGAAAAATATTGTCAGTTGTGGCCTTAATACTTCATATAAGCTGATTTAAGAATGATTTGTAGCATGGCACTCCATTCATAACTGAATTACTTTCTGGTGGCCTTGCCACTATATCACGTGAGGCACAGATGGAAATGACCCATTATGTCACCTGTTCCAATGTCAAGCCTGTGATGGGTTCTTCTCAGCATATGCTGGAATGGCTTGTCCAATCCATTTTTAAATGACTGTAAAGCAATGGGTGTTGTGTCTTAAATGCCTGAAGTTTTGCTGTAATATTCTCTGATGATAATATCTATTCTGAATGCAGTAATGTAATGTGCATCTCTTGGGAATTTATTTGAAACTCTTGAAAGGAAATATAGAATAATTGCAAGCACTCTTTTTTTTTTTTCCATTAGTAGAAAGCTAATATTAAATCCAGGCCCATGAAGCAGGCAAATAGCATCAGAGTAAGGCTGTATCTTGTCAATGACGGTGCTGGTGCTAAAAAGCATTTCTATTTTCCACCACAGGCCTCAGTCTGCTGAACTGTATTCACAGACCTCCTAGAAGGTTTTTAATGATTTAAAAACCCTTAAATCAAGGTCATCTATGCAAAGTCAAAGAAATATTGAGATAGTGATTTATTACTTGTAGAAAAGAATAAATACATTTTTCAAGAGCTTTCATACATCGATGAATAGAATGTGTGTTTTCAAAGCATTCTTTATTTCATTAGAAAGCAAGACTGAACAGATCATAAAGTACTAGAAGTTCTTTGCAGTGAGGTCCTGGTCTCTTCAGGCCTATTCGTCAGTTGTAAAGTTTCTGCACTGACTTCCATTGGTATTAGATAGGGATCTGTTACAGTTAATAGCAAAATCATGTTTGACTTCTCTAGGACCAGTAATTGCCCTCTGTGAAAGAAAAATCGACGTTAGCAATAAGGATGTTGCGTTATACTCTGCATAGGTTATAATAGTGCTTTGTTAAAGGTAAGCACTGTAGGATTGAGAATTTCAATTCAGTTGAACACAAGTGAAGCCTTGATTGAGTGATTCATTTCAGCACTAAGAATTAGAGTGCAATCAGGTCTCCTTTGCTAGCAATCCCTCTGCATCTTTCGCAAAATTATTTTTGTTGCTTGCTAGCAAATTGTTAACCTTTCCTCTTTTACACCTGTGCTCATGTCCTATCAATATCTAGGCTTTTCCACAATGGAGTTCTGCCACTGTTTTCATTCAAATCCGTTTTTACCCACTTTTACCCTAAGTTGTAGGGTTATGCTGTTTTATTTTCTGCTAAGGGAAGCACTATTCACCTTCGTGTCAAGAGAAAAACAACATAGCATGATCTCTTCATCGTCTTGTGAAGAATAAGCATGGAAAGAAACTTCTGAAGAGCATAAGATGAAAGTGAGTATTCCCATATTTTTCTTTTTCCTGCAATGGGAGCTGACATGTTTTGAAAGAATTTGGTTTGGAAAAATAGCTCTGCTGCTCTTCAGAAACATCTCAACAATTTATCAGTTTCATCAATATTTATGTTGTTTACCCATTACTGCAAACCATAATTGGACCTACCATTTCATAATGGTATAATCCAACATACAGTTGTTTTATTTATCTGCCAAAAAAACCCCATTTTTGCTTCATGGAAAAATACCAAGATGAAAATAATTTTATTATAAATCTCAAGTAGAGATGCTTGCAGTCTGCTAATTCCATGATTTTCTTTAGTGGTGCACTTAAGAGGTTCATCGTAATGGAGGAACTTGGCATGTGGGATACTTCAATGTTAGTGGAAGAGAAGCATTGTAATACCTCCACACTGTTCGTGTTACAGAACTTCCTTTGATGGCTACTGTTTAAAAGGAAGGAAACAAAATTGCTTGCTTCAGATATGCATCACTGAAAACAGCCAGTAATGCTTTTCGTTTAGGGTCCATGGGTCCTCTCAGCTAGGGATCTCAAAAGGGTTTTGTAAGACCTCCACAGTGAAAACTCATGCTTTGTATCTGTCATGTAGCCTTATGTCTTTTTGACACTCAGGTTCTGTTTCTGGACAAGCTAGTGAATGTTATTTTGGGCAAGCCTAGCTTATTTTGAGATTAAAAGGTTACATTATCACAATTCTGTTGATTTCAGTAGGACTCCTTAAATACCACATTTTAGTCCACCGTAAATAAGGATTTCGTTGCTTTTCTGTTTTCCTCTGGAAAGAAGTTCAATTGCCAATAGACTGGAATAAGCTATATTAATTCAAATGAAATACCAGTCTCTGACTAGGTATGTATGACATATCTAGAAATGAAATAGGCAGGTTATGGGCAAGCATGGAAAGGAAGACCTTTCCACTGCTTTATCCACTGGAGCACAGTAGCTCCGTTAGTGATGGTCTTGCAGGGATTTCTGTTTTTTCCGGGTTTAAGGTGCAGTGGGCTTCAAACGCTAGCTTTTTCTGAAATGGCGCTCTTGAACAAAGGCTTTAAGAGTTGTTGAACTCTTAAACTATTTACCTAAGTTTATCAGCTTTCATGATCTGTGTAAATCACTTTTGACCTATAGTTGCAGCTGATGTGGTCTGCTAAATTGCTTGTATTTCAAACAGAAGTTTTAACTGTCCCTTGAAAATTCCTTGGGAATCTTAAGTTTTTGCACAACTTTTGCTATGGAAAAACACTTACTTGTGTGCTAAACTAAATTCATTTATTCAGTCTTTTGAAAGGTCAAAATAAGAAAGTGAGTCTGCAAAGTTCTCAGCTGTATTCATTTCCTGCCTGCTCCATGGTCATATGGCCTGCGTCTCTGATTAACTGTATTTATGTATTATATACATCACTGTCATAATTAATCTACAGGAAGCTGGTTTCTCAGTTGAACCACTCTCGATGTTTACAACCAGTTTTCCACAAGTGTATAGCAACAACATCAGTGCTCATGGGACAGCTGCTTTAATGCCCAGCCTTCAGAAATGCTCACCTAGGGCTTGTCACAGAGGAAACACGTATTTTAAAATGTTTTTCTTGTGTGGTATTCACAGGAAATCTTGAAAGCAGGAATGTATTCTAAATTCTGCCCAAAATATCCTACTGGATTTATTTCTGTCTATCAGAAGCCCCTAGCGATTCCCCAGATGATAACCTGCCTGTTTTCCACGAGAAAGGTTTTACCAAGCCATACTAACAGTGGAAGCAAAAGCATGAGGGTTTTCTGGTCCTGCTGTGAAAGGTGAAGGAGAAGGGAAAGGAGAGACTAAGAATCCTCGTAGACCTCGTAGTCCTGTGAAAGAAAGCGGTGACTGTTGGCCCACCGAATATTAGCCATAAGATCAAATCCCCTAGGGCAGAAAAAGGAATAAAACTTCCATTTTCTGCATCAGAACAGAGTTCACTACCACTGAACTATTGTGTGGTTTAAGTAGGTGCTCAGGTATTAGGCATTAGGTATGTTCCCACTCTGCTTTTCTGCTCAGATGATTTGGGGATATCTCAGGGATGCCTGTGGCACAAGTTGAACTCCTCTGCACTGCTAGGCCTGGCGCTGTCAAGCCTCTGTTAACAGCAGAACCAGGGAAGCCATAAGGAACGTTTCATAGCCAAAAAGCATCTCTTCAGGCAAGTACCCCTAGTGCTGGGAGAGAAGTCAGAAGAGGTTTTAAAGGTCCCAACTTTTAAATTTGGAAGGACGTAGGAGCTTAAGTTCTACTCTAGAGCTGCCCTCAGTGGTTGCAGTCTTGCATCATATGCTCCCT